CTTCATTTATTAGCTTGTAGATTTATCTTATCTTGAAAAGTACTACTATGTTACAGTAACATGTTATGTTACCGTCTCTCATTAATTACTTGCGACATAAAAAAATTCTTAAAGTGTGCTATGTTACTAGCTAAGTTATTTCCATTATAACTATGTCTAAATGAAACACCCTCGCGGACAGAGTGGTGCAGGACCGAGCTGACAGAGTAGATTACTAGCTTGCACGCGTGCTCCAACCACCGCACCGCACTCACCACGGGCAAGGCTAACAACAACGCCTGGCCACTAGAATTCATGTGCAACGAAACGATATCCAGCCTCACCAAGATCGACAGCACGGCGTCTCCATGATCCATGCTGGAACCTCTGCTAATTCAAAAGCAGTCTCCTCCACTGAAAGGAAATGAAAACCACGTATATGTAGACACGTACTACATGTACTAATTAAAATCTGAACATGTGATGGGAAACAACCAAATTGAGCCTTATAAAATGGAAAAAACTAAAATTTTGAGATAACCCCTATAAACCGGAAAGGAGGGAGTATGTGCTAATACCAATTGAGATGGATCCAACTGAATCCGCAACATGAATGGATCAATGAATGAGATGAGAATGCAGGCAGAGGCAGGGGAGATCGTTGGAGGAGAGCCTCAACCTTGAATGCCCTGCCTGTCTTTGCCACCGCTCCATCTCATCTCCACCTTCCAGAGCGCGCGATGCGATCGGAGCGGATCGCATCGGCGGGAGCTTTGGATTGAATTCGGCGCGTCGCCTACCACCGTTGCACCAACGGCCAACGGTCCTTCCATCCATGTAGTGTAGCCAACAACTGTCTGTATGTACACTAGTTATTGCTCAAGGAGAAGGAGGAATATTCAATGCAGGCTCGTACCAACAACCATATCTGCATCTCTTTCTGAAGCTCTGCTACCATGCATACCCTGCTTCATGCCCTGCCTCTGCCTGCCAGCAAACGGCTCATGCAGCGAGATTCTGCTCGCGGCTGACCTTGTCAGGCAACGCCTGGTAGTAGGACTAGTATGAATGTTTATATTTTTTCCTATAAATTTGATCAAAGTAGCGATAGTTTGACTTTCGACAAAACTTACATGCAGACTAAAAAAGACCGGAGGGAGTACCAATAACTCCTAATTATACTCGGCAGTAGTGAGTGAATCAAGTAATAATGGATTGATGGATGGTACCAGTACGCGTGGATCTCACCTGGTAACACATAATTGTACCATCAAGTACTGCTGAATTTGCAACATGAACCAAAATGAATGCAAGGGAGATCTTTCGAGGACGGCCCTTCAATTGCCATGCCTGTCTTACCAGCGCTCCATTTCCGATCGGATCAGGCGGGAAATTTGAACTGAATCATGCGCGGAGTGCCGTCTACTGTTTTACTTCCTCTGCTCAGGTTACCTAACCCTCTCGTGTTTTTTCTTTCAACTGGCAAAACACAAACTGTATACCAAAAAAATTTCATATTGTACTATTACATTGATGAATTTGATAAGATTCGGTCATTGGCACACATATTTCTGCAGCTCCGCTGCCCGTCTGCTTCATGCTTCTGCCAGCAAATGCCTCCTGCAGATTCTGTCGCAGGCAACATGATTAACACCACGGTGATTCTGCACAGCTGGTTAACACCACAGATGTCTGCAAATTAACAGTGCAGCAGAGGGAGTGCTTGGAAGCAAAATGCACAACAAACTCCACTTATTACGCCTGGCTTACCGGAAGAAAAAAAGCGCATGGTTCTGCACATGCCTGACTCTATCAGGCGCCGACGCGGGCTTCATTAACAAGAGCACAGTGCGAGGATTGCTCTGGAGATTCCTCCATGATTATGACAGCTAGTTGATTATATACGTACGTCTGCAAACAGTGCAAACGTGGAGTACTCCTACCTGAAATGAAAGCAATACTAGTATCTCGCAGAGACAAACTTCTTCTCTAGAAAATCTCTCGACAAACTATATATAATGGCTGGTTACTCCTGCATATGTTTGGCATTCGTACAAGTAGTAGCCACTAGTCTCATTTTTCGCGGACAAGTCACGAGCAAGCATAGGATAGGTTGGCATCGTTTGGGTTGTCTTCACTCATCACTCAGATGACAAACACATTCATACACGGCACGACCTTAACAAATCTACTATGGAAATGCGGTCGTATTCCACTACTGTGCATGCATGCATGATTTGTTACGCAAACTGGGAACTTGTCGTTGCGCTCTTTTTCCCTGAAGAATACAACTCTGATAGGATAGCCTGCTTCATGCGTCTGCCAGCAAATGGCTCTGGCAGGTTTCCGCTCATTGCTGGCTCTGTCCGGCGATGCAATGCATGCCATAATTTTCTTTCCTTCTCTTCAATAATACTTACTAGTTAACTGGAAACACGGTGTGAGGATCCTGATTGATCCTGACGGCGACAATGACAGGCACGCGCAAGCAAAATCTCACAGCAAAACTCTAATCGTTACTACTCCTGCATGTGCAGGAGCATATGTTTAGCCTTGGCACTAGACTAGCACTCCCTCTATTTCAATGAACAAGACGTGCATTTTGGAAATAAATTTTGATCCTAAATCGAACCAACTATTTATTTATCTATCCGGGCTAATCCCCTTTTCATTATTATAAACATAACGGAAATACAACGCTGGTCCAAGAAAGGTTCAGGAGACGGGAAATGGAAGAAACGGGTTCAAAGCACGACTTCGTAAAACCCACTGCAAATGCTCGCAATCCGATATCTGCCACCCATGGGGCGAAAACCCGGTGGCACCAACAAAAACTTTCATAACGAGGTTTAAACCCACTGCTCACGTCGGAGAACATCAGATGAAAACGGTCTGCGACAGTAACCTAGATGAAAATAAAGAAGCTTCGAGGGGAAAAGATGATCCAGCTTGAGTGGCATCACACTTCATCTCCACGTCTTCCTGTACGGACGCGCAGATCATCGCCCTGAACATATGCTGAAGGTCTCATTTTGGGGATGCTCTTATGCAATGGCGTGCCACGCGCATGGTTGGTGCGACGGAGCGATCCCTTGACCGGTGTCTGCCTGTCTGTCCCGTTCCCGCAGAATGATTTAGTCAGGGATGCTCTTATGCAGTCTCTTCCTCCTTCCTTGTGCATGCATGCATGCCCACGGTGTGCATTGACAGGTGCCGGGTTCTCGCTTCATCAACAAAGGAAGAGGACAATATACGGCAGGTGCAATACCCCACATACTCGATGCTACCTGCAGTACTCATCTTGCAGAATATCATAATCCCATTTGGGTGATATTACTATCTACTTAGCTTCTGGTATGTTGCTAGTATCTAGGGATCAAAAATAAATTTGTCATATGGAGTGGTCGTGCCGGAGTGGTTATCGGGCATGACTAGAAATCATGTGGGCTTTGCCCGCGCAGGTTCGAATCCTGCCGACCACGCCTTTTCCTTTTTCTGCGCTTCAAGTTCGCATCCTGCAGACTGTCGTCCTTTTTTTTTTTGCGAAATAGACTACGCCTTTTTTGTGTGTGCGCATTCACTACACTCTCGTGTAATCAATCATGTTGAGGACGGAGCGTCGACCGTTGGCTAAAAATGCCAACGAGGGTTAACTTTTGGATTGGTCTCATTTTTTATTTTTGTAATCAATCATATTCCTGGAGGTTATATTTTTCGTACTCCCTCTCTTTCAGTTTATAAGTCCTACGCGTATTTCTAGATTGTCAATTTTATCATCCTAATATAAACTATATAACACAAAAATTATACGGTTTATATTGATTTTTTTTTTATAATATATGACTTGTATTAGGTTGGTCAAACTGACGACTTAAGGATACGCGCACGCCCTGTAAACTGAGAGAGAGGGAGTACCTCTTTTGCCTGTAGCCACAAAGTAAGACATCATCTACAGTCCGGCGCCTCAAACATCTTTCAATGTCCGGGTAGACGACCCGTCATTTACCCGGTAAAAAACACATTCAGACAGACACCTCAAACGCCCGGGTTGATAGCCGATCATACCTTTTTTTGTGCTCTAGGTTTGAATCCTGTCGACTACACCTTTTTTGTGTGTGTACTTCACGTATTCACTAGACACTCTCGTGTAATCAATCAGATTCCTAGAGGATATGTTCTTTTACCTCTTTTGCATGTAGCCACAAAGTAAGAGAGCATCTACAGCCCGGCCCCTCAAACACCTTTCAATGTCCGGGTAGATAGCCCCGTCATTGACCGCTTAAAAAAACATTCAGATGAACACTCAAATCGACCTCAAACGTCCGGACTGACCGGCACCCACTATAGCAATAAACATTCTCTATCTGAGGAAGATACTCCCCCCATTCTTTTATACAAGGCCACAAACTCAAATTATAGGTATCAACGTAAATTTAATGACTGGTTTCCAAGACAATTTTTTTTTCGTTAACCGGAATCATTAATACACCCGCATGTATGCAAGGAAGGAATGAAAAGGAAGTAGTACAGTGTTATTATGATTACATGCATGCAAGTGCAGTATTAAACAAGTTGCATGTACGAGGAAACACCATTAATTTTTGTCTCGATTATTGTTACTGGCTTTGTATATATGCAAAATGTATTTTTTATAATGACCTTGCAGGGTGTATCTGAGGGAGTACTGTTTCTTTGCAGGGTGTATCCGAGGGAGGTACTATCCAGCAACGTTTTTTCTACCCCTTGACACAGTAAAAAACATCGATGTGGCTAGCGCGAGCGGCCTCCCCTTCCTAGAGCCTTATTTATTGATACCATGCATATCTTTACGAACATTAATCACACTAAGTAATTAGCATTAAACAGTACAGAAGCTTCAGTTCTAAGATAACTCATTCTCCGTCACTATATATATGCGTGTGAATCTTCAGACGACTTCAACTAAGCCAACATAGAAACCATTTTCTCTGTAAAAGAATAGTAGCTTGGAAGACTTCAAGTAGCATCAGACAAACAGAGAGATGGCAGCAACGTTTCCTTCCATCGTGTGCAAGATCCTTCTCGTCATTGTAGCCATGCTTGCCCTCCTTTGCTCTGCCTGTAAGTCCCTCTATTTTCTCGAGATTCCTGCATAGCTTGAACCTTTTTCCTAAGAATTCCCTGTGCCATAGACATGGCTAAGTGTTTCCAGTTAAATTCGGGACCTTTCAAGACCATCGAACTGATTGCGTGAATGCTCACCAAATAAATCTCGCTTGTAGATGCAAGAGACGCATCAGAATATGGGCAGTGTTTTTCCCGGCCTGAATGCAGCAACTACTGCAAGCAGCAAGGATACCACAGGGGAGGGGAGGTCATGCCGCCCAACTTCATGGACTGTTGCTGTCTCATATGAGCATTACCGTGTAATGTTCCATTTTATGTCTAAATAAAATAAAATGCTATAATAAAAATGAAATCTACAGATTGCATGCAAATCTGCCAAGAATTTTGCGGGCATTTTGGAATATATTCACTTGAACCTCTGATTTAGGGCATGCCCAACGCCGATCCTCAAATCGTGTGCATCCATCTGGACAGCGTTGTCTGAACCGCGGAAACCATCCAACATGGACATGTATCGGTCCGCGACGCGGTCCGGACATGTTTTCAACAGACACGTAGAAGTATGACACCCCGGCCCACCCAGTCCCCCATCCCGGTCCCATTTCCTTCCACTATGCCCCATCTCCCCCTTGCTTTGCATCTGCATCTGCATCCAGCACGTCCGTTGTACCTCTCCGATCGCCATAGAGGCATTGTCGGACGTCCGCAACCAGCACCGACGTGCCCGCTTGCCTTTACGATGGACTTGTCCACCATGGAGCCATTTGTATCCAGGCACACTCCGTCCCCCTGTCGACGACCTCCATGGCGGACACCACGCCTGGCAGGTGTTCAGTCAAATGCCATTGAGCTTATTTGAAATGCCATGTCGTCTTTTAAAGTACGAATGATGGTGAGCTACAGCTACTCGAGCATGGAGGATGAGTTGTTGTGCGATGTGTGGTTGGTTTAATTAATTGGGTATTTATCATTTATGCCACTAGTTGTGTCCCACTACTCAGTTTTGCCATTAAAAATTACAGCTACTCAAAAATGCCATCGATTCGTGAGATGCTTGCTAAGAAATGCCATTAGATATCTAAAAATGTCATAATTCTGTTAGATGTTTGCTCAAAATGCCATTAGACATTGCTATTTTCACGTCAAACCCATTGACCATGTTATATGACAAAAGTAAGTCTAGACCCACATGTCAGTTCTCTTTATCTCACAATGATAAGTGTGGCCCCACTTGCCAGGAGTAACCAAGCGAATAATTTTACAGGGGGAAAAAGAACGCTGTTGGGAACAAGTGGGCCCCACACTTTATTGTAGTGAGATAGAGAAAGAGCTCATGTTGATTCATAGGTATTTATGTCATTATAACATGGCAAAAAAGATTTGAGATCACAATAATGATGTCTAGTGACATTTTAAGCACGTTTCTAACGAAGCGATGGCATTTTTAAGCAGTTGAAATTCCTAATGGCAAAACTGAGTAGTAGGACACAACCGGTGTTATAAATGATGAAAATCCTTAATTAATTACGACTATATGTGACGCAACACCTTAGTCTGGTCACAATGGGCAAGAACATTAAGCTAGTAACTTACACACTTCCCTAGACTATGTTACTACCTCCATAGTGGGTAGGAACATCTATGTAGTGTCATGCAACGTTGTATTTATTAGGTTATAGACTCGTTGTTTCTTGGAGTGTGTGATGTTCCGGTAACTTAGCTAGTTACCACAAGCACCTCTCTCTTCATTAAATATGTGCCACATAAGCAAAGTTGTATCGGAGTGTGTGATGTTACTCCTAAGTTCCTCCCCATTGTGACCAGCCTTAACCCTTCGGTAACAGCTCGACGCTTCATTCACGCTTTTGCCAGCTGTCGTTTGTACTACCAGCCACTGTTATGCCGCTGAAATATGGTGTGAAGAGATAAGGCTGGTCATAGTAGGGAGTAACTTAGACTAGTGTCATATGCATGACACTAGTCTAAGTTACTACCCCCATAGTGCAAAGTATCTTAGTAGTAGTGTCATAGTTTGTTTCATTTATTGCCTTATAGACTCATTTTACCTCGGGAAGCGCTATGTTACAGTAACATATTATGTTACTCCAAACACCTCTCTCCTTATTGAATACTTGCCACATAAGCAATGGGATGTGTTAAGTCACTGTTGGGTTTCGTAGTAATTTCAAAATTTTCCTACGCACACGCAAGATCATGGTGATGCATAGCAACGAGAGGGGAGAGTGTGATCTACGTACCCTTGTAGATCAACAGCGGAAGCGTTGACGCAACGTAGAGGAAGTAGTCGTACGTCTTCCCGATCCGACCGATCCAAGCACCGTTACTCCGGCACCTCCGAGTTCTTAGCACACGTATAGCTCGATGACGCTCCCCGGGCTCCGATCCAGCAAAGCTTCGGGGTTGAGTTCCGTCAGCACAACGGCATGGTGACGATGATATGATGTTCTACCGACGCAGGGCTTCGCCTAAGCACTACAACGATATGATCGAGGTGGAATATGGTGGCAGGGGGCACCGCACACGGTTAAGGAACGATCACGTGGATCAACTTGTGTGTCTAGAGGTGCCCCCCTGCCCCCGTATATAAAGGATCCAAGGGGGGGGTGCGGCCGGCCAAGGGGAGGCGCGCAGGAGGAGTCCTACTCCTACCGGGAGTAGGACTCCCCTCCCGTTCCTTGTCCAACTAGGAGAGGTGGAGGGAGAATAGGAAAGGGGGGGAGCCGCCCCTCCCTCCTTGTCCAATTCGGACTAGGGGGAGAGGGGGCGCGCGGCCTACCCTGGTAGCCCCTTCCTCTTCTCCACATTGGGCCCATAAGGCCCATTAACCCCCCGGTGCTCCGGTTTTATCCGATACTTCTCCGGAACCCTTCCGGTGTCCGAATATAGTCGTCCAATATATCAATCTTTATGTCTCGACCATTTCGAGACTCCTCGTCATGCCCGTGATCACATCCGGGACTCCGAACTAACTTTGGTACATCAAAATGCATAAACTCATAATAACTGTCATCGTAACATTAAGTGTGCGGACCCTACGGCTCGAGAACAATGTAGACATGACTGAGACATATCTCCGGTCAATAACCAATAGCGGGACCTGGATGCCCATATTGGCTCCTACATATTCTACGAAGATCTTTATCGGTCAGACCGCATAACAACATACGTTGTTCCCTTTGTCATCGGTATGTTACTTGCCCGAGATTCGATCGTCGGTATCCAATACCTAGTTCAATCTCGTTACCGGCAAGTCTCTTTACTCGTTCTGTAATACATCATCTCGCAACTAACTCATTAGTTACAATGCTTGCAAGGCTTTATGTGATGTGCATTACCGAGAGGGCCCTGAGATACCTCTCCGACAATCGGAGTGACAAATCCTAATCTCGAAATACGCCAACCCAACATCTACCTTTGAAGACACCTGTAGAGCTCCTTTATAATCACTCATTTACGTTGTGACGTTTGGTAGCACACAAAGTGTTCCTCCGGCAAACGGGAGTTGCATAATTTCATAGTCATAGGAACATGTATAAGTCATGAAAAAAGCAATAGCAACATACTAAACGATCGGGTGCTAAGCTAATGGAATGGGTCATGTCAATCAGATCATTCACCTAATGATGTGACCCCGTTAATCAAATAACAACTCTTTGTTCATGGTTAGGAAACATAACCATCTTTGATTAACGAGCTAGTCAAGTAGAGGCATACTAGTGACACTAAGTTTGTCTATGTATTCACACATGTATTATGTTTCCGGTTAATACAATTCTAGCATGAATAATAAACATTTATCATGATATAAGGAAATAAATAATAACTTTATTATTGCCTCTAGGGCATATTCCCTTCAGTCTCCCACTTGCACTAGAGTCAATAATCTAGATTACAAAGTAATGATTCTAACACCCATGGAGTCTTGATGTTGATCATGTTTTGCTCGTGGAAGAGGCTTAGTCAATGGGTCTGCTACATTTAGATCCGTATGTATCTTGCAAATCTAATCTCTATGTCTCCCACCTGGACTAGATCCCGGATGGAATTGAAGCGTCTCTTGATGTGCTTGGTTCTCTTGTGAAATCTGGATTCCTTTGCCAAGGCAATTGCACCAGTATTGTCACAAAAGATTTTCATTGGACCCGATGCACTAGGTATGACACCTAGATCGGATATGAACTCCTTCATACAGACTCCTTCATTTGCTGCTTCCGAAGCAGCTATGTACTCTTCTTCACATGTAGATCCCGCTACGACGCTTTGTTTAGAACTGCACCAGCTGACAGCTCCACCGTTTAATGTAAACATGTATCCGGTCTGCGATTTAGAATCGTCCAAATCAGTGTGAAAGCTTGCATCAACGTAACCTTTTACGATGAACTCTTTGTCACCTCCATATACGAGAAACATATCCTTAGTCCTTTTCAGGTATTTCAGGATGTTCTTGACCGCTGTCCAGTGATCCACTCCTGGATTACTTTGGTACCTCCCTGCTAAACTTATAGCAACGCACACATCAGGTCTGGTACACAGCATTGCATACATGATAGAGCCTATGGCTGAAGCATAGGGAACATCTTTCATTTTCTATCTATCTTCTGCAGTGGTCGGGCATTGTGTCTGACTCAACTTCACACCTTGTAACACAGGCAAGAACCCTTTCTTTGCTTGATCCATTTTGAACTTTTTCAAAAATTTGTCAAGGTATGTGCTTTGTGAAAGTCCAATTAGGCGTCTTGATCTATCTCTATAGATCTTTATGCCTAATATGTAAGCAGCTTCACCGAGGTCTTTCATTGAAAAACTCTTATTCAAGTATCCCTTTATGCTATCTAGAAATTCTATATCATTTCCAATCAGTAATATGTCATCCACATATAATATCAGAAATGCTACAGAGCTCCCACTCACTTTCTTGTAAATACAGGCTTCTCCAAAAGTCTGTATAAAACCAAATGCTTTGATCACACTATCAAAACGTTTATTCCAACTCCGAGAGGCTTGCACCAGTCCATAAATGGATTGCTGGAGCTTGCACACTTTGTTAGCTCCCTTTGGATCGACAAAACCTTCCGGTTGCATCATATACAACTCTTCTTCCAGAAATCCATTCAGGAATGCAGATTTGACATCCATCTGCCAAATTTCATAATCATAAAATGCGGCAATTGCTAACATGATTCGGACAGACTTAAGCATCGCTACGGGTGAGAAGGTCTCATCATAGTCAACCCCTTGAACTTGTCGAAAACCTTTTGCGACAAGTCA